GAAGACTGGCCCTGAGCTAACATCCATGCCCATCTGCCTCTACTTTAATGTGGGACGCCTACCACAGCATGGCTTGACAAGGGGTGCCATGTCCGCAACCGGGATCCGAACCAGCGAACCCCCGGCTGTGAAAGTGGAATGTTTGCCCTTAACCGCTGGGCCACCGGGCCGGGCCCCTGAGCACCTTTGAGAGCAGCCGGCGGCCCTGCTGTTTTTTTTGCAAACGGATGAGTTACAATTGGCAACAAAGTCCGCGGCCGTTTCCAGATCTTTGAAACAATGTTGCATAATCGGAACAGACCGGCCCACACTCGCGGTTACTGTAACCGTGGAGCAACTGCAACCGGCTACACTTTCCCGGAGGCCACCAAGGGAGTCCCAAACTGGCCTGCATTAGCCCCAAAAAGACAGAGCTCTCCGGAAGCCCAGGGCCTGAGACGCCAGAGGTAAGTCAGGCCTTGAAGGGCATGACCTTTCATCAACGACCCTGGTCCCCTTATTGTGCCCTTGGCAAATCTGGTTTCTTTTTTCTTTTTTTTTTTTTTTGAGGAAGATTAGGCCTGAGCTAACATCTGCTGCCAATCCTCCTCTTTTTTTTTTTTTTGGCTGAGGAAGACTGGCCCTGAGCTAACATCCATACCCATCTTCCGCTCCTTTATACGTGGGATGCCTGCCACAGCATGGCTTGCCAAGTGGTGCCATGTCTACACCCGGGATCCGAACCCCAGAACCCCAGGCCACCCAAGCGGAAGGTGAGCACTTAACCGCTGCACCACCAGCCGGGCCCGGCACATGTGGTTTGTGTCTAACCCGGGAAGCCGTCAGAGCAGCCCCCTCGGCTCGTTACCTTTCCCTCCCGGAGGAAGATCACGACCCCAGGCCAAAGAAACGTTCTCCGTTTTCAAACTCGATATTTTTTTTTTTCCATTTATTCCTTTTTTTTTTTTTTTCTTTGTTTTCCAAACGGATCCACCGTCACGGCCACCCCGCCGTGGATCCTCCACACACCGTCCAACCAAAAAAAAAAAACAAAAAACCGAAAAAACAGAAATGAACATTGAAAACCCAGCTTTCCCCCCCAAACGCTGACCGAGGGCAAAACGGGGCCTTTTTTTTTTTTTCCTCTTTGCCCCAAATTCCAGGAGAACGTGGCCCGAGATGCACATTCATCAGGGGGCCGGTCCGGGGGCCACGAGGGAGACCCCCCCAGACCCCACAGGGCGGCCCCGCAGGCCCCTCGCCGTGTGCACACGGCCCTCCAGCTCCTTCCAGTCGGTCTCCTCGGTGAGATGCGGGGAGATCCGGGGGGGCAGGAGGTAATTTTTTTTTTTAACACTTGCATACAAATATTTATAAGTTTATTTATATCTCCGTTTTACAAGATGTACATTCATACCATACGGTTTGACAAAATACACTTTATGAGGAGGCCTCACCGGGGGTGGGGAAAAAAGAGGGGGTGCGTTTGGTGCTGCGGGGGGCGCACGACGGCAGACGGGCGCGGGGGGGGGTGGCCGCGGGTTTGGGGTAAATTATGAGCTTTCTTTTCATGTGTGCAGATCCCTGAAATAAAGGCCTGTCGGTCCAGACACACCTTGTATGCAGAACCCAAACCCCCGTCGCCGTGTCGTAAATCTCGCCGGCTGCTCGTAAATCTTGGGGTGATGGAGTGAGGGGGGGGTGGGTTTGGGGAGGAAAAGGAGGGAGAGGGAAAAGAAAAAAAAAAAAAAAAAAGAAAGCACCAGCCTCCAAAAAATATAAAAATAAATGCCGAGCGATGTCAAATTTACACTCCACATAATTAAAATAGCACATATTTACGAACTTTCAACCCAAAGGAAAATAAATAACACATCCACATCCACCCGCCACCGAGAAGCAGAAACGGTCAGCGTCTCCACCGGAGGACGACGGGGGGGGGGTGTCCGCGTCCATGCAACCATCCCCTCCCCAGAAATAGCGGGGTCCCCCCCCCCACCCCTCCGCGGCGGCCTCGAAACTCAGGTCTTCGTCTACATTCCTCGACTGGCTTCTCGTGAAATAGCAGATTTCCATAGGACATTGAGAAATTGCATCAAGCGTTCGCGTGGATCGAAACGGGGGGCGTCTTCCTAAGCTAGTTTTCTTTTTTTTTTTTTTTTTTAAATAAATTAGGCACCAGTTTCTTTTTTTTTTTTTTTCTTTTTTTTTGTGAAACGTTGAACTTGCCAACCGAAAAAAAATCCCTTCGCGGCTCCGACCTCCCCAAGTTAGGGGAAGATGGAGCAAAGTGCCTTGAAAATTTTTCATCCTCGCAATTAGCCCCAACGGGGTCCTCGGTGCCCCTGTGGAGACGCCAAGTGGAAACGCCGGGCGTTGGGAGGGGGTGGTCTTGAACTTTGGGAAACATGAAAAGCTCAGAAGGAAAGCCAAGGGTCGGAGCAGACAAGCCCTGCGTTTTCCTTCCATCTTAACCGGGGGGGTGGCCGTAAGCTCAGACTCCAAACGTCCAGCGTCGGATTTAAACGTCTCCGTGTCCCCCATGACGTACAGACCCCAGATCCTCGTGGCCGAGGCCCGAAACGAGCCCACGGCTGGAACTCAGGCTCCGGGGACCGGATGCTCTTTGCCGTTTGGAAAACTCCCGGAACGCTCGGCGTTGGTGTTCCTGTCAATCACGCAGGAAGCGAGTCCGGCCCGCCCCTTTGGTTCGGTCCGAGCAAAGAAACCCACAGGCCCGGGGTCTTGGCAAAACCGACCATCGAGGGCCTCTCTGGTCCCCCCAGAAGGCGCCATCTTCCAAACGTTGGCCGTTCTGCGTGGCCGAGCAACGCACACCGTCCCTGAATCTAACGGCATCGACCCCATCGTAACACCCGGCACCCCCGAGACGTTTGGGGACCGTTTCCCGGCAGAAGGAGGAAAAAAACGGATGTGGAAGAAACCCGCAACTCGCGTGTGGGATTCGCGGCCACAGAGCCTGGTGCGTCCGAGGCCGTTAGGACGAGATCCAGGCCCGTTTGCTTCCGACTCGGTCCGTCTCCCTCGGCCGCGCGAACGGTACGTGCAGGCCACACGGGCGGCCGTGGAAAGGATCGTGTTTGGAGCCGGATGCACCCACCACAGCCAGAAAACGTCCACCCCGTGCGTTTAATTTCTGACAACGTGCCACCCCCACGCGGGCCGTGCAGGCCAAGAGGACGGAGGGGGGGTGCCCTGACCCCAGAGTCGACCCCGCGACCCCAAGCCCCACACACAAGCCATTCGGAGCATCCTCCGTCTAACCACCGTCCTAAGGGCCTACAAGGCCTCGGAGCAAAGAGCCCGGATGCTGAGAGCCGACCCCAAGTGGGGCCACCGTCCTCATTTGCACCCATCCCACAATTCCTGGCGCAAAACGGGGGGCCCGGAGGTGCTCTCCTTGCTCCACGCCCTGCAGAGAGTTCCCCTGGGCCAGCCCGTCTACACAGCCCGTGCCGCTCACACAACCCGCTGGGTTCGTTCTGTTCCCATCTGGGGTGACGGTGACACCTGCCTCAACTTCCACGAGAAATGCAACAAAATCAAGGTGAGGGGGTCCCCCGTCCTGCAGGCCTCGGCCCCCCCAAACCCGCGTCCCAGCCCGGCCGGCTGTCTTTGCAAACTGGACCAGACTTCATGCCTTTCCCGTTGCCGTGGACCCGTTTTTCGGGGGGGGGGGGCAGAGGCCGGCAACAGAGGCCTAGGTGTAGACAAAAATGATTATCACCCTTTTCAAGAAAAAAAAAAAATAGGGGTGCACACGTTTTACCTCCCACTTGGGCCGAGGGTTCAATTTCAGGGTGAACGCAGCCGGTTCTAAACGCTTCGAAATGCATTTGTTTGTTTGTTCGGCCTTGAAAACAAAGTTGCGGCTTATACATAGGAGCTTCTTTTTTTTTATTCACGGCTGTTTAAAAGCCACTCTTCACATAGGAGGCCGAGTCTATAATGCCATTAACGTCCGGGGTGGCGGGGGGGGGGGGGGAGGAAAAAAAAAATAGAAAAAGCTGCAAGGGATTTAAAAATACTGACTTGCTTTCTCCATCCCTCTGCCTCCTTTCGGAGCCTTCCTAAAATTTCAAAATTCCAAAGAAAAAAAGTGGAAGACGGGGTTAGGGTGGGGCTTTGGATTCCGATCAAGGGTTTCTGGGTGACCAAATATAAGACGTGTCCGAATGGAGCCAGGTTTCTGCTTGGGGAAACGGCAAACGGTGGGCGTTCCCTGACATGGACGCAAAATCATTTTTGTGGAGAAATGGAGCAAAATCAGGAATAACGGGGTGGAAAAAATGGCCCTAAAAGATCAAAACCTCTTTTGCAAAGAGAGTGAATTTGAGCAAAGGCCGGTGCAATGGCCAGTTAGGAACGGACAGAAGGATGGAGGAGAAGACGGACGGCTTCCGTTTGGGGAGGCCCCGGGGAGACTGAGTCACAAACGCAGGCCTCTCTTCCAGGTGGACAAGCCGGGCACCCCTTTGCACCCAGGACACGCCAAACACATCCCCCCCCAAAAACTCAAGCGCTCCCCAAAAACTCAGGTGCGCCATGTGGGAACGCCCAACGTTTTGGTGACGTCATTTCCGCTCCACGCCAGCGGCCAAGACAGTGGAGACCAATGGAGGAGCCCACAGGGAAGGGGAAAAAAAAAAAAAAAAAAAAAGGAAGAAAGTTGCAACCACCTACGGACACAGCACAACGTTATCGGAAAACGCACATCCGGGTCCCACCGTCACCTGCCACGCGCCTCACCTCCGCCCCCTGCAGCGCCCTCTGCACCCCCGAGTCCTCTCGGCGAGGGGCCCCAGCCGGCCAGGCCCCGCAGCATGCAAGACGAATTAATGCCCTTAGAAGTCCGAAGCCGAGGGATCCAGAGTGCTAACGTTTGTTTGCGTTTTTTTTTGCTTGTTTTTCTTAAATCTATAATATATACAGTATTGCACTTGACTGAATTTCATTGCATTTCACTAAACTTCACGCTGCCTCAGTCTTTACCTGCCGACCACGCCCCGCGCGCGCCCCTGTGTCTCTAGGTATGTCCTTTGCGTCTGCAAAACAGCAATTAAAAAAAAAAAAAAAGCTCAACTTGGGGGGGGGGGCATCAAAGACCGGAAAATCGAGCAAGGCGGTGCTGCCTTGGCGCAGACCGTGCGCATGCGCAGAAGTCAGGTATCCCCCCCAGACGGGTCCCACGTGGGAGCTTCCCCGGCACCACCCGCACCCCCACCTCGGCGAGGTCCTCAGAGGCGTTTCGTTATTGCTGCCTTTGGGGCCGGCGGGGTGGGGAGGGGGAGCAATTTTTTTTTTTTTTGCATTTTGCAAATAATAATAATAATAATAATAATCTCCACACGGCGCGTGCCGCTCCTGGGGCGAAAGCGAGTTCGTGGCGGTGAAGAAAACGCTTGGCGATCCAGCATCGGCATCTTCGGCGGAGCCCAGCCCCAGATCTTGTGGGTTTTTCTGTTTTTTGGGGTTTTTTTGTTTTTTAATAGACTCTTTGATGTTCGCAGGGTGTGGACGAGGCCGCATGCACAGGGGAGAGACGCCCGCGGCGGACAGGGGCGCGCGCACGGGGCTGCACGAGGCGCGCGGGGGGAGCCCAGGACGCCGTGCTGCGTGGACGGCTGCGCTGGGCGGTCTGAGCGGCCGGCTCCTGCTGTGTGTCTCTCTCTGTCTCTCGATTTTCCGCACACGCTCTGCGGGGGGTCTGGCGGGGTCGTGCGGTCCCGGGAGGCCCCCTCTCCAGGCCCGCCCGGGCGGTCTATGCAGCCGTCGGGGGTGTGGGGGACGCGGGCGGGTTTGAGTGCAGGACGCAGTGCGCGGCGTGGGCAACGGGCCCAGGGCGGCGGGCGGGTCAGAGCCCCAGGGCCTCGGCGTGCTTGCGCGCCTTGAGCCGCAGGTCGGCGATGCTGGAGTTCTTGCTGTTGCTCTTGGCGGCGGCGGCCACCACGGCGGCGGCGGACGCGGACTCGGCCAGCGACGCGATGGGCAGCCCGAAGGGGGGCGGCGGGAACATCAGGTAAGGCGCGTGCGCCGCCAGGTGCGGGTGCAGGTGCGGGTGCGCGTGCGCCACGCCTTCCAGCTGCAGCTGCGCCTGGACCTGCGTGGGGAACAGACGCGGCGCGGTGAGGACGGGGAGGACGCCTAGGTGCGGGGTGGGGGGGCGGACGGACCCTCCTCCGGGGACACCCCACCCCATCGTCCTCCTCCCGCTGGCCAGACAGCGGACAGAGCCAGACTGGGGGAGCCACGCCCACCCCCTTGACCTCGCGAATATCGGGGTGTCTACAGCTCACCCCCCGTCCTCCCCAAAGCGCCGGGTCCTCTGACCCTTTGACGCGTCTCCGACTCAGGGTCCCCACTTTGGCTCCGGTGCCCCCCCCCCACACACGCCCCCTCCCAGGGACCCGGACGCCCCCAGTCCTCCGTCGGGCTAATGTCCTGGGGCCGGATGGCTCACCCTCTCCCTCTTGGAGGCCGCAGTGCCTGCGATGCGGAGGGGCCGCCCCGCCCTGGGGAAAGTGGGTCAACGGGCAGGAGATGCGCCCAGGCCAAGGGGGCGGGGGTCGAATCGAGGGTGGGGTGCAGACCCCCTGACGCCCTTCCCGCCTTGGGCTGGGGAGTCTGAGAGCACCCGGATGGAACCCCAGCTGACCCCCCCCAGGTGTCTCTTGGTGCCCCCCACTCCCCACGGCCCAGCTGACCCGCGAGGCCGGGGCCCCACCGAGCGGACGTCGCGCCCTTCAGCAAACAGAGGTCCAGATAGAAACCCGGGTCTACACTGCGTGGTGGCCACGCCTCCGCTCTGCCCAGAGCGCTCCCACCCGCCACGGGGGGCTGCGAAGCCGGGGCCTCCAGCCTCGCAGGGTCCCCCCATGCACCCCACGCGGGTCCCTTTGGGGACCTCGATGCTGTGTCCTGACTCGCTGGCCGCCCCACGTCCACGCAGCGCACCCCGCGCGCTGGGCCCTCTTGACTCTGCTCGGAGCTGGACCAGAGACCCCCAACTCGGAGGCGCGGGGTCGGCCCGGGTCCTGGAGGGGCGCAGACACCCGCAACCCTGGGGTCCGCAGGGGCAGTGTAGACACGTGCCAGCCTCCCCTTCTCCCCCCCCACCCCATCCCCCCAACCCCAGGCTCCAGGCGGCGAGCGGGTGGGTGGTTCCCGGGGCGTGTGGGCTGTTTTTCCCTCTGAATTTGCAAAACCGTGCTTGGGTTTCTGTCCGGGCCCTCCCCAAAGGGGACTGCGAGTTTTTACAGCGTGAATTTAATACGTGCCAGCGGGTCTATAAATGCGCCCTTGTAAAACCGCGGCCTCCTTTCTTCCGCGGGGGCGGGAGGAGGCGAGGGCTGAGGGGTGCGGGGGCCGTTCCAGAAGCAAGAAAAAAAAAAAAAACACGAGCTACCTGTTGGAACGGCATCCGCAGGGCGCCCATGTTCACGTAGGGCGCCACCCTGCACGCGTCCAGGTGGCTGGCCGTGCCTAGGATCACGCCTGCGGGAGGACAGACAGGGGCCTTGAACGCCGCCCCTCGGCGGGGAGGGGGGCCCCGGCCGGCGCCCCCCACCTCCCCACCTCCCCCCCCCCCGCGCACCCACCTTTATGCATCTGATTTTCTTGCTTTCGGCATTTGGCCCTCCGGTTCTGGAACCAAACCTGCGGACGGGACAGACAGACAGACACACCCCAGTGAGCTGGACGGCGGGGGGGGGCCCCCCCAATTCCCTGGCGCCTGGGGTGTGGCCACGAGAGGGACCCCGGCCCCGCAGAGCACACCCCCCCAGCCCCCCTCTTCCGTTTTCTTCCCCTCCCCCAGGGCCCCCCACCCCGCACCCCGCACCCCAGCCCTGCGCGTAACTGGCTACCAGGAGGTGGGACCTGTCACTCACTTCTCGGCCCCGGCAGGGCCCCTGGATATATAAATCCAGAGTGAAGAATGAGGTGCTGGCGGACTTTCCATCTCCTTGTGTGGGCATGGCCCCCCTCCCGACCTCCCACATTTTTGCACTTTCGCCGACGACGACGAGGAGTGGGGGGCGCGCACAGGGTGAGGGGAGATAAAGAGCTCCCCGAAGGCAGGCGCCTCCCCGATCAAGCTGGGGGCGCCCCGAAGCCACAAACGTCTGCGTTTTCCGTGCCCCCTAGGAAGCCTGGAGGGGCCCGCTTAATAGGACAGAGTCGTGCGCCATCCATGAAAACGGGGTGCACGCACCCCAATAATTCCGGCTTTGCGCTCTGGGCCCTTGGCCTCTCCAAGGACGTCCAATTTGGGGGCGCCCTAGGCAGAGGTTGGGCGACCAAGGGCGCCGGGATCGTGGCCCCGCCCAGCTAGCTTCACAGGCCGGACGCCAAGATTGGGGTGCAAAAGTGGCCCTCCCCCCAAAAACTCCCCACGTTCACACCGCCTCCAGGCAGCCAGGGCTGGCCACATCTGGGGCTTTCCTCCCTCCGTGTTCTTGGTCACTTAATTTTCCCTAACTGGTATCGCAGGCGTCTATCCTACCCGGGTCCGTGGCCCTATAGCCGCCACGGCCGTCACTGGCCACGCGGAGCCACCGCCCCCGGGACAGCCTGGCCTCGGCCTCCGTGCCCGGGAGTTCAGGGCGGGTGTGCTCAGGGCGCCGCCGCTCCAAGCGCAGACCCTGGGGGGCGCCCGGGACCCCCCACCCCGCGCAGAGAAACCTCAGCAAAACCCCCCGGGGATGGGGCGGGGGGGGGGGACCCCAAGAAACGTCAACTTTTCCGTCCTTCCCAGACTCTCCAGAGGCATTTTTCAACCCGCGAGAGCTGAGCCTTCCAGAACGTTCGAAAAGCTCATCCCGCCAGGCAGAGGGAGCCTGGAAAAGTTGGCTCCCTTTTTTGCCTTGAAAAGTCATTCCAAAAAAAAAAAAAAGAAAGAAAAGTCCGCCCACACGCCCCCGCCGCCCCCTCCAAGCTGAAACGCGCAAACCTTCCTTCCGTGCATTTGCAAAGGCTGCGTGCACATACCTCCTGACCCCTCTGTGTCAGACCACCCCCCCACCCCGGGTGGGACTGGACCCCTTTTGCACCCGGCCTGGGCGCCCCTGTCTCCTTGGGGTCCGCTCCCCCAGACGTCTGCGCACGAGCCCACGGTGCCCCCTGGAAAGGGCCTTTTTTTTTTTTTTCCCCAAAACCAGAAGCCTCTTGACATCTGGAAAAGCCCAGCTCGCTTTCCCTTTCCGCGGGAGTGGGGGGGGGTTGGGGAGTTGGGGGGGGGGAGGTCGAGGAAGGGGAGGAAAAAGAAAAAAAAAAAAAACACAACATTATGAAGAATAAAAGTGATGAATTAGCCGGCGCGTTAAGCGGTCGTAAATCAGGCTTTCGGGGTGATTCGCGGTCAATTCCAATTAGACTGGAATATGCTAACTAAAGCTCGCGACACTGGTTTCGACAGTCATTTCTTCATTAAGCGGCACTCACCGATTTCTTTCACAAACGCCCTAATCTGATTTCCTTCTGATTTCCATTACAGACAGTGAATAATGACATTTAATTTAGCTCCCTGCGCCATCAACCCAGAGATATTTGTTGTAATTAAATTACGGGCCCCCCCCCCACCCCACCCCGCTCCGCAGCACCGCGGTCTCATAACTTTCGATTAGGACCCTGACAGCTGGGCGCTGGGAGCTTCCAGGACGATGCTAAAAATAAAAGGTTAATCAGGACCAGCTTCCATCGGGTCCGCAATTTATTTACAGCAAATTTCCACTCCAAATTGAAACCCGATCCTCCAACGACCGCGGGGACGGGGGAGCTGTCCCCACCCGCCTCCCCACCCCCCGCGATGGATGAGCCCCCAACAATTCGGAGGAGTCGGGATTCAAATCCGGATCGTCGTGGCCTTTTGATTCCTGCCATCCGCCCCGGTGACACCCGCGCGACCGCGGGGCCGTGTTAGCACTAATTGATTTTTATGAGCGCCTTCTGCCCTTTTGGCCCTGTGGCCGGTGCAAAAAAAAAAAAAAAAAAAAAATTCTGGTCTCCTCTCCTCAAATTTATTTGCATTATTATTTACAGCCGTTAAATTTTAATTCGCTCCCCCCCCCCGGATCGATCACCATTCCTTTTTTTTTTTTTTTTTTTTATTTTCAGGGCCCCCTCCCCGCAAACTGGACTGACACTCAAGGCCCCGGCTCCTGCCCAACCCGCTGCCTCCCGCCGCCGCTCAGGCGCTATTCGGTAATAGAGTACTTGAAAGAAATAGTGTGGAATTAAATTACAAGTAATTTATTTTTATAGAAACAGTACATCAAGGCCGGGGAGATATTACAGATCCCCGGCAGAAAGACGTGGCGAGATGACATCAGAGTGGATGTCCCCTTCAGCGGCGAAAGTTTCATCTTTTCATTAATTTCTACGGCGCCACCTCATCCATCTTTGCAGAGAAGGGTGGCCGGTGGGAAACCCACCCTCGCTGCGGCCCCAACGGACTCGCCCCGGGGACACAGGGGCCCCCCCAGCCTGGTCCCCCCCTCCCTTCTTTGGCAGGAAGCTTCTAGAAAACGCCTGCCGTTTTTTTCGGACAAGACCCTTTCGCCTGAAGAGACACCGAACCAAGATAAGACAATTTTTTTTTCTTTTTTTGCAAATTAAAAACGTTTCTAAGACACATCTGCGTTTTCGTCTCATCCAGAAAACCCGAGGACGGTTGTGTTGCAAAATGCGCGGGGGCCCTACGACCAAGAAGGAACCGCTTCTTCAAAAAAAAAAAAAAAAAAAACCTCCGCTTTTCAAGGCCCCCTCCCCGGTGGGCGATATTAATTCGGTTTATTGCAAAGCAGCCCCCGGAGAGACTGAGCGCTCCTACTTAGTCTGCACGGCCCCGCTGCCCCGGCTCAGAAGCCTGAGAACCGAGGACACGGGAAGGCCCCGGCTTGCAGGCCCGACCTCCCAGGCGGGGTCTGCGGGGACCCCCCCCCACCCCGAGAAAGCGAGTGGGGAGCCCCCAACCCTCCCCCCCACCCCCGTCCATAAACGAAGGCGCCGCGCTGAACGTTCCCAACGCCGCAGAAAGGCCCGCCCGAGGGGGACGCACGTGCCGCGCACACCCGGGGGCGCCCCCCTCACCCCCAGCCCCGCAGACGGCGGCGGTTCGCCAGATGGGGTCTCCCCGATTCATGCGCCCGCCCGGGTTAATCCGGGCCCCGCGCGGGCGGGCAGGAGCCGCGCTCATCAAGACGCCCAGCGTGCCCGACCACCCCCCACCCCACCCCCAGCCTCGCCTCCCCGCTCCCAGGAGTGGAGCAAAGAGGAAAGAGGGGGGAGGCCTGAGGAGGGGTGACGGGGAGAAGAAGGGAAGCGTGCGAAGGAGAGAGCAAGTCGTGCAAATTCCTGACAGCTGGAGGTGGAGGGCGCACCGTGCGCCCGGATACGCGGGACCCCGCTACCCGCACCCCGGGGCGTCTCCGAGCGGCCTGCTTGCAGCGCGCCCTTCCCAGCTCCAGTCTCCTCGCGGGCCCCGGGGTGGGTGGAAGGGGACCCCTCGTCCTACCTGCACGCGCGCCTCCGAGAGCCCCAGGCGCTGGCTGAGCTCCTCGCGCATGAAGGCGTCCGGGTAGTGCGTCTCGTCGAACAGCCGCTCCAGCTCGTTCAGCTGCTCCAGCGTGAAGTTGGTGCGGCTCCGCCGCTGTTTCAGCTTCGTCTGCCCGTCCTCGTCCTCCGACTTCACGTCTTCGCGCTTCTCCTTGCAGTCGTAGATACCTGCGTGGAGGAGCGGGTGGGAGCCGAGGACACAGAGCTGAGACCCCCCCCAACACCCCCAAACACACACCGAGAAAGGCGGCCCGCGGTGGGGACGCTTGGGTGCACACGGGCGCGCGTGCATGCGCTGCAAAGGGGCCTCCGCCACCGCGCGCCCGGACGCAAGTCGATAAAACCGACTCGCGCTCATTGCTAAGAACTCGGATCACGGCGGCGCGGGCTTTCCGGGCCTACACCTGGGGACAGAAGCGTTTGCTCCATTTTCCACTTCGCGAGTCTGTTGACATACTGACATCGCCTCCCTTTTTTTTATTTTTGCAAAGGGAGCGGGGTGTTAAATATTATTATTATTATTATTATTTTTGAAGTCAAAGACGCTTGGGCGGAATGGGGCAGGCCCAGGCCCAGGCTGAGGCCTCCCTCCCTCCGGACGCCGCGCGCCAACCTCTTTCTAAGCGAGCAAGCCAGGCCCGTCTCTGAACGGCGCACCGGGGCTCCTCAGGGTGCCCCCTGGAGCACAGTGCCTCAGTTTCCCCGGTTGTCACGCTGTCTGTTTCACACGTTCACACGCGGTCGGTCGGGCAGACGCCCCACCGGGGCTCCAAAAGCGGCACTTTCTTCCATCCAAAAATTACGGGAGCCTCTGGATTTGCTGGGGGAGCAGGCGGGGACGCCACCCCCCCCCCCCAGCATGAGGTCTCCACTGGGAAGACGCGAACCCAGAAAACGCAGCCCGTCGCCCAGCTCAGAGACTGCGAATCAAAGGCGGCTGCAACCCAGGCTGGCGCGCCAGCGGCACCTCCGCGGCCCCCGTGTTTTCTTGCGCTTTTTTTTTCTTCCCCTCCTGGAGCCCGCTGGGCGCGGGCAGAGAGCACCTTTGTGCCCTGATTAGCGGTGCCCTGCGTGTCAAGGAGAACACGCCGGCCTTCAGGGGAGTCGTTGCAAAGACCCTGGGGTTGCAGCACTTTCGAAACGGGCAGGAAACGGCGCCGAAGGCCCCTGAGAAGCAAACCCGGAAACTTGCAAAGGGGGAATCCGGGAAGCTTGAGAGGGGCGAGGGGAAAATCCGGACGCCATGCCCCTCACCGCCAGCTGGACACCAGACGCTGAAACTCTAAAGTCCCCACTGCCGGGCGGCCCAACTTGGGTTTTCAATCCCCTTTCGCCCCATGAAAGCAAGGCGATCCCAGCAACACCCTATTTCTTCGCAGCTGCAAACCCTTTCCCAGAGGCGGCCCCCTCTTCCTTCGTCCTCGAGTCTGAACCCCAGAGACTGACCCCAGCCGCCAGGCTGGGCCTCAAAGTCCTTCAGAGCCGGTGGCCGGCTTTGCAGGGTGACGCTCAGCGGGACAGGCTTCCCCCGGGGTCCCCAAGATCTCCGGGGTTCCTCCGGGAACCCGGGGACCCCCACCGCTGCAGTCCACTCGCGTCCTGCAAATGCCAGCCTGGGGCTCAGCCCCTCCTGGGGGGCCCTTCCCAGCCCGCCAAAGGGGGAGACACAGCTGGGGGGATGTGTGGGACCCCCCCCCCAACCCTGTTCCCTTTGCTTCTGGTCTCTCTGCCTCTCTGCCTCTGATTTCCGGAAGGCCTCCACTGTCGCCCTCTCTGTGCTGGGGTTCCCTCCCCGCCACCCCGCCTTGACCGTCCAGGGTGACAAGGGGGTGGCCCGGACGAGGAGAGTGGAGGTCCAGCCCCTTACAAACGGTCAGGAACCCCAGAGGTCAGCCGCCCCGGGGCCCTGCAAACCTCTGCAATTAAATCTAGGCCTTCAAGAGCGGCCCGGGCCCGGCTGACAGGCACGGCTGCATCAAAGCGAAATGTCTTTGTATGAATCACACAGCCAGGTGCGCGGGGGGCCCGGCGGAGGGAGGAGGCGAACCCAGAGGTGAGGCCCCGGCCAGGCCGGAGCTCCCCCCGCGCTGCTGCTGGGGGGGGGGGGTCGGGGGCTTATTTCTAATCCTCTGCCAGCTTTCCGCTGCTTCCACAAGGTCAAACCTCAGAGGGATGTGTGGGTCGTCTGCGCGTTTTCAAGGCCGCGGAGACCAAACTCTTGCCATCCGAGCGTTGGGTCTGGAAAAGCAGGGCGCGTGGGCTCCCCGGGAGAAAGGCACGTCCTGGGGGACACCGTCTGACCCCTGTCCACGCTGACAGTCGGGGAGACGGGACCCGCGGAGAGAAGCGGCCGGCCCCTGCCTGCCTTCTCTTTGTAATGAAAAATAGACATCACAGGCGTCTCCAAGGGTGCCCCCCTGAGAAATCGAGCCAATTTGATGCCTCTGATTTATTGCTGTCAGTCGCCCTGTTTGTACAGACAGCTCACGGCCCGCCACCCCCACCCCCCACCTACCTCGCCGCTTGGGACCACCCCTGCCTTGCTGGGAGACCGGTTGCAAAGCTGCCCTTTTTTCGCTTCGGTTTCCAGATCGGGGCGAAACCTGCGCGCCGGGTGCGGGAAGGAGGCCCCGCCGGGACACGCGCGCTCGGCGCGGCCGGCTGCGCTCTCGGAGCCACTCGCTTCCCCTCGGGGTCTCCCACCCCCGCCACCCCCTGTCACGTCCGGACCCCGGACACCTGCGCGGGCACCCGAGTGGTTGGAATCTCCAGGCCGGCGTCGGCCAAGAGCCAGTGTGGACGTTGAAGGCCCCTGCGCGCGTCGCTTCCGCGACCACCGGCCCATCGCGAGGCGGGGAAGCGGGTGGGCGCGGGGAGAGACGCGCGTGGCTCTCTCCTCGGCGCGCGTGGGAGGAGGTCTCAGGGGCGCTGGCAGCCCCACAGCCAGCCTCGGGTTTGGGGCACACACCACCCGACCCGGATCCGCCCAGACCCGGGAGAGTTCCCGCCTCGGCTCCCGGTGCCGACGCCCCGGGGAAGCGAGTGCGCGGGCGGCGCGCGCGGCCCCAGCCTCCCGCCCGTCCTCGGCTCCGTCGCCTCCCTCCGTCCTTCCTTGTCTCCGCGCTTCGCTTCTCCCCGCTTTCTGACGAAAAGCCTGACGATGGCTTCCCGGGGCCTCTCCCTCCGAGAGCCGCGGCTGGCATTTCCGACTTTGGGGTCGAACGCAGAGCGAGCCGCGGCGCCCGGGGCCCTCTCCGCGGCGCGCGGCGCGCAGACTCCTCCGGGGGGCGAGGAGACCCCGACCCCGGGGGAGGAAGGGGGTGCCCTCCGCCTGCGCCCCCAAGTGCTTACCTTCCGCGGCCCTCCCCGTGCCGAACTCCTTCAGTTTCTCCTTGTCGTTGTCCACGTGCTCCTTGAACAAATGCACCGGACAGTGGCCGCTGCCCTCCGTAATGTCCTGGAGGCTGGATTCCGAGCTCCCCAGCTCCCGGGAGCGCGCCAGTCCGCTCTCCAAAACTTCTCTGTAGGTAATGGAGTCCTTCTTGCCCCCGCCGCCGCCGCCGCCGCCGCCGCCTCCGCAGCCGCTTTCCTTGTTTTTCTGGTCAAAAGATTTGGATACAAAAGCGGTCAGCTCTTCCATGGCTGCTCCCGGGGCGGCGGGGGTGGTGGTGAGGGGAGAGATGGGGCTCGGCGGGGCTCGGCGGGGGGCTGGCTGGGAGCCGGGCTGGGGTCCGCGCGCCTCCCCGGCGCGGAGAAGCCGGTCGGTGTGAGGGTAGCTCTCCTCCTGTTGGTATTTATGCCTTCAATTTGAGATCACACTATTTATACACCGGTACGTCGGCCCAACCCCCAGACTTGTGTGTCTGCAGCAATTACGGCTCCCGGCTCGGCGGCGGCGGCGGCGGCGGCGGCGGCGGGGCGCACGCAGAGACGCGCTCTCTCCCCCACCTCCAGTCCGGCAATTGGCTTTCTTTTCATTTCATCACTGTTTGGCGTCTGTGCACCTCGGTGTGGAGAGGTAAAGAGCAGATTTGGGAAGGAAGGGAGAGGGAGAGACACGGCGAACGCGCGCGCGCGCGCGCGCACGAGCGCGCGCTCTGGTGCGCGCGCGCTCTCGGGCGGGCGCAGGCGCCAGCTCCCCCAAACAGGTATCCGGCTGCTCTCAATGGCTGGCGGAAAACGAAACTTGAGGAGGAGTTTCGGGAGCGTCGGGAGGTCCTCGCCGCCGGGCTCCGAGACGAGCACCGCCCCGCGCCTGCCGTGGATCCGGGCCGGACGCGCGTCCAGGGACGCGGAGACTCAGGGGCACCCGGGCGGCGGGGACGCGCCATCCGAGACGGAAATCGGAACCCCAACTTGGAGAGGTGGTGGCTGCACCCGCAGGCGCGGCTGCCCGCGGCGAGTTTGGGGCACGGCTGGAGGCGCCCGCCCACCCTCCCCCCAAAAAAAAAGTAAGAGGAAGGCGTCCCGGGTGTCCCCGAAGGTGGGCGGCGGGGAGAAGCGGGTCCCAGAGCTCGGAGTGGGGGCGCCCCGGAGGCCGCTGCGGGGCCACGAGCACCGGTCGGAGCGCGGGCGTCCAGACCGGGACAAGCTCGCGGGTCCCTGGGACAACCGGTTGGTAAACAGCGATGCTTTGGGCACGCGACCAGACCCCTTGCAGTCTTTTTCGAGCCATTCCTGTCAACCCGGTGGGTGGGATCTTTATTCGGGTGACAATAATATCAATATATATATTTTGGGTCGTGCCACCGCTTTTCCTGACTAGCTGCTTCCCGCTCGCCCCTCAGCAGCGCGCTTGGCGGGGGAGCCCGTCTCCTCCGTGAGGACGCGAAACGCATTTGACAAACCCCGGAAGCCCAACGTGTCAGCCTGTCTGCACCCTCCCGTCTGCCAATAAAGTTGACTTTTCTCCTCTCCCTTCTTTTTTCTCAGCTGTCTCCCCCTCTCCGCTTTCTGCGCTGGGAACGAGGCTTATTTTGGGGGGAGTTGAGGTGGGGGTGCGAATGAAGGGGGGGCGGGGTGTGTGGTGGTTTTTGGAGCAGTCGGTGGTGCGTTTTCTCGAGTCCCCCCGAGCGTTTGCGAAGCGGACAGACCCGAGGATGGGGGGGTCTCCCGCGATGGCGCCCGGCGTTCGGCGAGACGGTTGTCTCCTCCGGGGTCGGAAGGAGAGGGAATGATTTCTTCGGGATCCGGGCCGCGCGCGCGTGGTCGGTCCCCGGGGCTGCTCTGCTCTGCTCCGCGCGCGCACACACACGTGCTCGGCGCTCCCTCCCGGCGCCTTGGGATTTCGGGGGTCGCCGCCTCCCCCGGACTTCAAAAGCGCCAAGGCGAAGGAGCGGGGCCACTTGACAAACAGGTCTTTGTCACGGCGGCCGTCTAATCAAAGCGGAGGCGCGCGGATATCACACGGAATTACAAATAGCCCCTCATGCATTATGCACGCGGACGCCTCGCGGGGCGGCGGGGCGGGTGCAGGGGGGGCGGCTCGGAGGGGACGCCGAGGGCGCGCGCATCCCCCCCCACCCCCACCCAGCGAGCGGGCCAGGGGGGGCGGCGGCCCCCGGAGTCGCCGGTTCTAGTCCGGGTCGAGCCCCCAGCCGCACCCCTGACCCCCCCCCGTGGGGCGCATCTTCTGCCCCAACTGGATGTGGGGACCCCCCCCCCGCCCCCGTCGGCAACTGAACTCAGCGCTTGCGGGAGACAGCAGAGCGATGATGGGCGGAGAGGAGCGAGGGAGGGAGAGCAGGTTTCGGGGAGGGGACGCCGGGCAGGAGCAACTTTCCGGGGTCCCCAGAGAAGGGGGGCGACTTTTCCTCTCCTCACCTGCGCCGCATCTCGCTGCTCCCGCAGCCTCAGGTGCAGCTTCCTGGCACCCTGCAACCCCAGGCACCCTGCCTCCCCTGGGGGTCGTGGAGGGCCTGCTAGTCTCGCAGCCCAGACCCCCCTGGAGAGCTGCCCCCCACCTGCCACCCCCCGCCCCCCCCAAAGAGGCAACATGGCCGGGAGCAGAGTCTGCCCGCCTCCAGGAGCCTCCCCAACCGGCACCCGATGGGGACTCCTCGAGCATCCAAGACCCTGAAGCCTGAGAGGGAATATAAGCCCCTTTTTCCACTGGGGACCCCGTTGTTCGATGAGCCCAAGCCCAGAAAACGGTTTCGAAACCACCCACATCCGTCTCCAAAGGCCTCGTCCTTTCTAAGCAAATGCCCTTTTTGCAAAATCCAACTTTGTCTTCACGGTGAGCAAGGGCGGGGGGGGGGGGGGGGCCGGCCTCCTCTCTGACTCACTTTTTGGGGCTGAGGAGCGTGGGTGGGCCCGGGCGCCCTCCCCTCCCTGGTGGGCAGCGCACGGTGGAGGGGCGTCTCAATCCCTCCCCTTTCAAGACGGAGACCCCCCCAACGCCTCCTGGGACAACCGTTCCCCATATTTTCGCCCAGGCGAGGACTTTTCACATTTCTGCTAAGTCGAGAGCTGTAGGGTGGCTGTACTTTAGGAAACGTTCTGTGGGCATTTCCGCTGGGGCACCGCGGGCAGGAGAGGAGGGCGCGGGCCCTCCCAGGCTGGCCCACCCGCCGGGGGTTAGGTGGGGGGTGGGTGGGGGGGGCCTCTGCATAAGGGGCGCTTGTTCGAGGCCCCCGAGGCCCCCTCCCCCTCCGAGAAGGAGGACCGCCCCCGGGGCGCGAGGGGGCACAGCGTTCTCCAATCCGGGACACGTCTTGTCAGAGTCCGGACGCGCCCTTGTCTCCAAACGGATTCCGTCAACTCCGAAAGAGGAAAGTTTGTGCAACCGGAACGAAAACAAAACGTCAGCCCGGGGTGGAGGGGTCGGGGCAGAGAGCCGAAGAGCGGACCCGATTTCTGGAAGAAAAGGGAGGTTCCAGCTTTGATATGTTCCCCCAAATGTTTGGCACACCCACCCTGGAGCCCACGCTGGTGCTGCATTGGGGTCCGGGCGTGCCCCGCGGCCCAGAATCCCCGGATGGACACAGGCTGCCCAGGCCCCGGCTGCTGACCGGCTCCCACACCTTGATGGTCCAAGTGGAAAGGGACGCGGAGACAAAATGCAATTAAATCCAGTAAAAATGCCAGGAGACCTTGTCCTGGGGATGAGGAAACGGTCTCCAGTTGGGGAGCGGGTCGGAGGGTCTTTTGAACACGACTGCGGGGTCCTGGAGCTCGGAGGCACCCTGGTGGCCTCAGGCGCTGCCCTTTGCACGCCAGCCCCCCATTTCTGGGGTGTAGCCAGCAGCCCCACCAGGGAGGGTGCACCCCACAGATGGGGGCCTCTCCCTGCCCCTCACGGGAACCTGGGACCTCTCATTCCAGCTCAGATTGACCTTCCCCGAATTCCACCCACCCAGGCCGACCCCACAGAGAGCCCAAGGCCAGCCAGGCCAAGATGCTGCACCCCCCCCCACACCCCGAGATTACCCCAGCTGGACTCCTTCCGGTCAGCCGGCCTCCCGGGGACCCAGGCCGGGCCGCGAAGCTCGGACACGCCGCTCAGGAGCCGCCCCCCGGGGCCACGTCCTGCTGGCTGGGGCCGGTGGAGCGGGAAGGACTCTCGTGTGGGGCCGGTGGAGCGGGAAGGACTCTCGTGTGGGGCCGGTGGAGCGGGAAGGACTCTCGTGTGGGGCCGGTGGAGCGGGAAGGACTCTCGTGTGGGGCCGGTGGAGCGGGAAGGACTCTTCGTGTGGGGCCGGTGGCCGTGGGGTGTCTTCTGTCCTCTCTCCGTCTCCCCGGCTGCAGAAAACACACGAGACCGAAGACTTCTCGGCGGTCGTCTGCGCTCCGGGCCCTCGTTCGACTCGGACGCCCAGGCCTTGCGGGCCAGCCCGGGTGCCCGGGACACCCAGAGACACAGGCCGTGCACACAGCTGAGCCCGGACACCGGCCACCGGCCGCCCCACATGCCAACCGGCCTTTTCTGAGGCCAGGCTGGTGGGAGACGGACCCCAGGGACCGACTTAGGCTGGCCCGAGGAAATGCACATTGATTTTTTTTTTACATTTTGCAAAATAATCTGACTTTCTGTCTGTGCATTAGGGCCATTTTAATGAACGGCCTGTGCCTCTAAGGGGTCTGCCTCTCTCTCTCTCTCTCTCCAACGCCGAGGGAAAGGGAAGCGATGAATATTCAGATATTTAATATTTGCTTTATTTAATCCCTCAAAAAGGGACTGGCTCGGAATTTCCACTTGGAGCCCCAGCGCAACGAGTCTCCTCGCGGGGGTCCCAAATGCATTTCCCTGAAATCAGATTTCACGCCCCCAGCTCTTAATTGCCGGGCACCATTTGCAGCCTCTGGGGCCTGCAAGCCTCCCGGAGGAGCCGGAGTCCCCGGCCTCGTCTACACCACCTGTCAACTCAAGGCTCCCCCCAACCCCGGGGCGGGGGTTTCCTGGGTTCCCTTGAAACGGGGGTGGGGGGGGCATCTTTTCAGGAATGCCCCTTCAGCCCGGGCCCCGTAATTCCAAAGACAATTTCTATTAATCAGAAGGACTGGGGGGGGGGGGGCTGTTAATGGTTTTTCCCGAAGAGCCAGAGCCTTTTAAACAACAACCAAACCCTCCCCACCCATTAAATATTTATGACGATCGATCACAGGGGCTGGATTTTTATAGGCGTCTTAACGCGTTTTCCTAGACGGCCTCCTTGTTGCGTTTTTTTTTTTTTTTTTTTTTACGTTCCTCCCCCTTTTCCATTTAGAAAGCTGCATTTGCATGCCCCTCCTATCCTATGCTGTTTATTGATTGACCCCAACACCCGTGTTTCCGATTCGAGGCTAATAGGTTATCATTACACGGGGCCTCTCTTCATCCGCCCCCCTGAACGGACGACACGCATCCTGTCGACAAATCCGACATCTATAAT